AGATAGATAGATAGATAGATAGATAGATAGATAGATAGATAGATAGATAGATAGATAGATAGATAGATAGATAGATAGGCAGGGACAGACAGACAGACAGACAGATAGATAGACACAAATATTTGCAATTGACTTTAAAACAAAGATATGGTTTTATAATTGTTGTTCTGGAAGACATGAGACAGAGTCTTCTATAAATGACCACACTGATGGCAAAGAACAATTAATTAACCAGCTGTTTAAAAATACATCAGTTGTTAAATTCAGTTCAATTCAAGTCAAGGAGAAAGGAAAGACACTGTAGTAATAATACATATTCCTGGAGAATTGTCATATTTTATGAATGCTCGTAAAAAGACTTAATGGAATTCGCTGCTGACTGCGCTGCGATGGGCCACCGTAAATCAGATCGCAAAAAATCCCAGCATTTAAGACAACTGAACTTTTATGAATCACTTCTGACGTTCACAGCCATACTTACTAACTTTAGTGGCCACAACTGAAATGTTGTGCTGGGCTATACTCTCCCTGTCCAGAAGCTCATTGGTGGAGATGGTTCCTCTGACAGGATCGATGTCGAAGAAGCTGTCCAGGTCACTCTTCCAGTCGATGGAATACCTGAAGAACCAGAAAAAAAAATTGTTTGGTGCACACCAAGGTTCATATGGCAGCATTCACACTTATTCAAATGAACCACACTAACAAAGCAACTGCACCAGAGTTTGTTTTAATCAATCCAAACCTGCCAAGTGCAATCTTTTTAGGGTCACATCTTGTGACATCACATCCTGTTTTTGGCTTGTTTACATGTATTTGATCCATGTTGCATTCATATATCAGACGAGCTGCACCAGAGTTCATTTCAAGTTCATTGTTTGATTCACACCAAGGTTTGGATGGCAGCATTCACGCTTATTCAAATGAACCGCAATAACGATTGCACCAGAGTTTGTTTTATTCAAACCAAACCTGCCAAGTGCAACCATTTTAGGGTTGAGGGTTGAGTTTGTTTAGATTTGTTTGGTTCATGTTGTGTTCACACAAGCGTTCATTTTAACCAAACCGATGCCAAGTGTAAACATGCCCTTACATACATTACATTTGAGGGGCATTCTGGGGAGGAGTAGTCATGTGGCAAGCTGGCATGAAAATATTGTGCACTCTAGTGAATTGCTATGTGTGGGTCCAGTTTTGAACAGCTGTGAACATCGGTGTAATGGCCTAGCAACCTTGTTAACGGACCCCGCAACCATTCTCAGGGGGTACTTCACATGTGTCTCGGTGTGACTTTGCACCCCAGTATGCATGAATTTGAATAACTTTGAAAAAGTTAAGTTTTTATTGACCTTCTTCACATTCTACTTGATGCTTTGGACTCATTCTCTCACATACACTTTTACAAACATGGTTCTGAACTCTGGGCGCATTAATGCAGGCTGATATTTTCAACGCTACTTATTTATTTATTTGTGGCTCGACCTAGAATTGAGCAAAGAGAAATGAAGTGGGAGCGCTGGGCGAGGTGAGATGCTACGGTGTTTCTATTTTCCAGATTTCAGTGGCTGCCTTGTTAAATTCATTCAAAAGGTGGTCAACAAAAATCATCTGAGGATTTTGTGCATTTGCATTGGATTCTCAACAAAAGCCTTTGATGTTGTGATCCACAAGCGTTAGGAGACCTGATCCTCCATAATAATCATCATACATAATATACAGAGACTGCACCTGTGGGAATGTAATTCATATAACCAACTCATCAATTTGTGTTAATATAGCACATTTCAAAACATGAAACATTTGGGAAAAGAAAATATTTATAAGAACGCTCAGAGTCAAGTGGCATCATGAGAAAGAAGAAAGACTAAAATGTTCTGGCATTGTCATCATAAGCTGCTTTTGAAAGTATAATATTTAATATGAAGTTCAAACAAGATTAGAAGGCAGTGCATGCAACCTTTTTTAATATTTAAAATAGAATCTTCATATTCTATTTAATGTTCTATCAGGACAGTACTGGTTGCAATTTTGTTTAAATCTGTGTTGTGTCTTTTTTCTTTTTCCCGAGAGTCACAAAAGTTCTGGTTGATTTCCAATAATTAGCTCATGATTAACTTAATGTATCTGTGCAAAGCCTTATATATATATATATATATATATATAGGCCTATATTTAAAATTTAAAAACTTTTAAACAGCAAATGCTGCTGCCAAACGAAAAAAAGCTTCAAACTGAATTTCAATATGCTGCTTCATTAATCTTTACAAGACTACTAGATTACAAAACAAACAGACTGATGAACAAATTATTCATTGTAGAAAGTAGTTGGAGACCGGCTCGACAGACCCTTGGCTGTGCGGAGAGATGAAGCAGAACATCAATTTTGTCCTATTTAAACAACTAACAAAACTCTCTATTCTATTCCTGTAGGAGGATGTGGGAGTCAGTAAAATAACTGTGTATCTCCTGAATTTTACCTCTAATTAACTGTTATTAATCTGTAATCAGGGGTCATGCAATCAGTGCAGTGTCAGTATATTCAAATGTTAACTCACAGAGGAAACATTAATAAGTATTTGGAAAAAAGACATCAAGAGCTGTTGGTTGATTTAGCTGAAATTGCAGCTTTGCTGGGCCCGAGATCTAAATGTGTAATGAGATAAATATCCCAGTGGAAAAGCTGAGTATGTTAAAAACAAACATTCATAAGGACAAATTGATCTAAAATCAACATGAAATGCTGTTCAAAACCCATTTTACTTTCATAATATGATGCATTTACAAGTGCAATTCTACAAGAAAAAAATATATATTTTGCTAGAAGTTTTCAAAGAAAATTTTGATTTATTTTGGAAAAACACTGATTAATTATGCAAACATTAAGAATGATAGGACGGTCAATTTTGATTTCATGATGACCTTAATCTGTTTATGCACCCCCTATATATAGCATTTTTTACTTTTCCTTCAGCATTTCTCGCCGTCATCTTGGTTCTAGTCTGTACTTCTCTGATCAATGTAAATGCCTCCTTTGAATGAATCTCTAACGTTGTATTTCCTCATTTGTCAGTCACTTTGGTTAAAAGCTTCTTTAAATGAAGAAATGTAAATGTGATTTATTGTACCATTCCTCATTTCAGTCCATTTTGCTCACTGTGGGGCTCTGACCTCTTCTTTGGGTGGTTTACCTCAAGAAATGTTTCTTTTAGTGAACATATGGTACATGAACAACACAGCTTCGGACAAATTGACAGTTTTCATAAGTCCATCCATTTATGATCTCTCTGCAGCTCTTTCCTTAACCCCTGAAGCTTGGAGAAAACGTAAAAAGCTTTGGAGGAAGTCTTAGAAACCTTCGATACCAAAAAGCACTTTAGCTATTTTGTCTCCCGCATTCACTCTGCGGACTGCAACATTGTGGACTTGCGGTGTGTATAGACGTATTTTAAAAGCTTTGTTCGCTTCGCACGGAAGACCATTGGGGACCATTGTTTTCCAATGAGAAAGTGCACATCCCCATTGAGCAATGTCACAATGTTTCTAAATAATTAATCAGGAAAGGCCAAGACAAAAAGAAAACAAATCCCTTTCACTAATACAAATATTCCCTTTGTCCATTTTGCTTTCTTACAGTATACTTAATGAAATATTCATAGAGAAACAAACTAACTTGTGATGCTAGGTAGTTTTGGGACCCCGCAGTGGTGCATCAATGGTTTGTCTTCTTATAAAACTTTAAAAGCAATCTTAAGAAGTGCAATTCAAAAACAAAATGGATTATAAAACAAGGTAAATCTTTCAGCATGTTGCTGTTTTTACCGACTGTTTTTATTGTGCACATATATATAGCGATGTGTGAGATGGAAAGTTTTGCATGCACACAATGTCAATAATCTCTCTTTTTTTTATAAAATAAAATGAAAAAAATTATAATTGATTAAAAAAATATATATAAATAAATATATATATATATATATATATATATATTTTTTTTTTATATATATATACACACTGTATGTATGTA